AAATATCTGATGGTTGGGCATTTTTTTGATGAGTAATGCCTAAAGAGCAGAAATGGTGATCCCATACAAACAAACAAAAAGGCGTTTTATCTTGCTTGTATTTTAATTACATACGGGTTTAAGAGCAATGAAAACATTTTGTGGATAAAACTATTTGCAGATATGAGAGGAGCTTACCCTTTCATAAGACAGCTGACCCCTCTTGTCAGGGCATTTGAGTTTCCAAAGGGCGTGTCAGAAGGGGACAGATGACGGTGGCGTCGGTACTATTCCAGCCAGGTGGAGGATGCCAAGCAACACCTTCACCATTCAGCGGGGCGCCATGTGACAGCATGAACTATGTCATCTCGCAACGATTCACAAAGCAGCCAACAAACAGGCCTTGTTTCCAGATCTTGCTTTGCCATAACACACAAAAAAGGAGGGAGAACACAGACAGAGCCAATAGGACTTGACCACTAAACCCTGCTATATCTGTTAAATTCCACTAGCGTACCTCTTGTATATGAAGTACATTTGTATTGAGTATTCCCAACATTTTGGACAGGGCACTTTTTAATGAAGCTAATTACACTCAGCATTAAAACCACTGCAACATCTGCTCTTGTCTGAGGTACTGAAGGATGTGTCTTTTAACGGGGCCACTGTAATCTCTCAAGTACTCACTACAGAAGAACTAAAAGACCTTGAAAAAGCACCAACACCCAACCACTGAAGTTTACTCTTTTAAAAACCCTGGTTGTTGCCGGCCTGTTGCTAATGCTACAAAACACTTGTGTTTGTCTTTGAACAGTCTTGGCTAGCACAGACCCATGGGATATTCCAGCAATGAGACGTTCAATAAAACTCAGTAAAGTTATTTATTCTCTTCTGGGGAGGAAAAAATGAGAGAAGGCAGACGGCATGGCTAACCTTTGAAGGGGGGAAACTCTCAGATATCCAGCTAGGACATAAAACCAAGGGAATGACAGGGACATCCTACCTGTAAACAATAAAGGGGGTGGAAGGGGCTGTTTTTTATCTTTAACAGCAGCTGTAAAACACACACCAAGCTGGGGTCTGCAACAATGGCCCAGAGGCAGGGGAGGGTGGCTGAAACAGAAGTGGCAGGAAGACGACCGCTTCCCAGACACAAGGGTCTTCCTGCTGGAAAGAAAGGAGGCTGAAAAATGGAGGGGAAAGGATGGGGAGGACAGCTTATAAAAAAGGAGAAGGGCAGATGTAAAGGAAGGGGAGGCTTAGTAAGGGAGATGACACAAACATGACCTTTGATTACATGGGGTGTTTAGAGCAGAGCTCAGCCATGGGCAGCCTGTGAGCCCCCCGCTGCTTTCACACAGCCACACCTCAGCCAGTGTATCCTGATCGGAACAATATGGCTGAAAGATGAACCAGAAGCCATAAATGCCAGCAACAGGGACAGCTCCACTGTGTCTCCTGCTCTGACACCATCCAGCATCTGAGTCCTGGCCTCACAGCCAAGAGCAGCCCATCTCCGATTCTGCACCAGAGCCAGCAGAAGATAAAATGTCTATTTCAAAGTCCTTGTAAATGAAGTGGCTGAATTAACCAGCATTAGATGCGTTTAAAGGTCCCTGACTCACTGTATCAGCGAGCACCCAGGGAAGGAAGCTGCTCCAATGTCACATTCCCAGAACACAGTGCAAGTGTAAACTATAAATCGACCACCTGGCATGCATTACAAATGACCAACTTGTTGTAGGTGAAGATGGACAGAAGCAAATGCAAACTGACAAAGTCGCTGCGGGCTCTAAGAAACATGGTTCAGCTGTAATGTGTGTTTGGGCTTCTTGTTGTCTAATTACCGTCAAAACTCGCATGTCTGTGCAGGAAGAAAAAGGAAATTTTTGCTCATATCATGCTTAAAACAAGGCCGCCCCTCTGGGAACTACGCCAAGGGAGAGCAGTGCAAATGCCATCCCTCTTTTTTCAGCAGCAGAGGTGTTGGGGTCGCTCACAATAAATACGTCTACAACGTCACAAGGCCTTTCAGGGAGCCACATCAGAAACCTCTCAATGCATTTTTACATCAACCCTGAAATATTTATGTTCTTTCTCAAGTATTCATGTGAACTCAAGTTAGTCCCGAAAGGGGGAAAGTGCAGAAAAACCGAACACACTCAGCAAACACCGCTCTCAGCTGTGCTATATAATGTTGCAAACATACAGGTCACCTGAAGAAACGCTAATGACCCGCCCCGTCATGCTAAACAGCTCTGACCTTGTTTGACGTTTTGCAGCCTGCTTGTAATTTTTTTAGGAAAACTGATAAAAAAATAAAATAAAAACACATAGGTAGCATGTGCCAAATTATTAGGAAAATGTACTTTACTATACATTTATTCTTAATTTAATGTTTCAAAATAAAGAAATCAAACTGGACAATGAAAAAGATCATCTTGCTTTTTTCCCCCAATTTGTCTCTTTCAAATAGCCTGCTTTGATGGTTATTTAAAAAAATACTGTGCATTTTCCCAAGAGCCACTTAAGTTAGTTTGGTGCTCTTAAAAAAAAAGAAATTTGCTATTATTGAAGAGAGCAGTCGTTTCAATTAAATTTTAAAAAACATCTATTGTTTTCATAAATTGATATCCTAAAAAAAAAAAAAAAAAAAAAAAAAAAAAAAGGGAATAATTTTGAATTAGTCTTCATCCGTCATCAGCCTTTTTGCATTGTGACACGCTTGACATTTTCAAGTATTATTAAAATAATAAATCAAATTGTGCGCACGGGCAGAGTGCAATAACAAAAAAATGATTTTAATCGAACCTATATGAGCTTTCAGAATGATCTGAAAGTATTCTGTGCAGGTAATTCAATCATACACTTGAAACCTAAAGGATTAAATCATATTTATCTCCAGGATATTAGTCTGCTCTGCAGTCCCACCCATGTGACGAAACAGAGGAGAACAATAAACCATCTCTGCTGCTCATCGAACGGCGATGACATTTGGAGGGGTAGGTCTACATGGTGCTGGGGGGGGGGGGGGGAATAATACACAAAATCTTAACGGTGGAAGCACCTTCACCAGCTTTCCTGCTCTCAACGAAACATCTGTAAGAAGAAAATGACATACAGATGCAGCCTCCCTGTGTATATATGTGTGTGTGTTTGCGAGCGTGTGATGTGAATACCAAACATGACTGTTGAGAGATGACTAGTGAACAGCATCTGTGAGTTCTCCTGAATGACTAATTGCACCCAAAGCTGTTTTTTTTATTATTATTCCTGCATTAATTCAGTGTCTTTACAATCAATACATTTCACAAAAAGAGTTGCTTCACCTCCACACTGCTTAAATAAGATATTAAAAATAGAAATAAACAAAACGTGCTTTAAATATACCAGGTTACATATCAGAGGTGGCTTTGATGCTCCTGATATCTATTTCTATTCTAGCTTCAGCAGATAAAAACGACTTCAAATGGCTAAAAATTTCATTTGCTTTTCAGCAACCTCCTCAGCTGCATCGTAAACACACTTCTGGAGGCTTCATTAACATATTGTCAAAGAAAACGATTGTTGAAGGGGAACTTGATGCAATCAATGCTGCTCTTTTGACTTAATCAGGCTTTGTAATCTGGGAAAAATAAAAAAATAAATAACAATTACATGCATCTTGTGATCTGGTCTATGACAAAATCTGCTTAATTGTAGTGTTCTTTTATTTTTGTGTTTATTTTTCCTAATACAAGTAAAAATCAGAAGCAGGTTTTTTGTGCCTATCTTAAAATATCCACCTTTGCATTCAAACGTGGCGTCAAAAATCCTCGTTCATCCAGAGAAACTGTGAATTAAAGCATCATGGATGTGTCTCTGGAGCTGCCTTTGCTTTCCAGGGCTGCTGAAGGTTACTCTGCTGAGCAGTCTTCAGGCTGAGAGGTGCATTTTGACTGATCTGGTGTGTTGCAAACGTGCACGTTTTGCTTCACATGATACCCAAGTCACTTGTTAAACCTGATGCATGCACTGTGAACACATTTGCACCCAGACACTTCAAAGCCCAAATACAAAGGAGGGGGAGTGGGGGGTGATTTTCCAGCCTTGCTCTTCCTGTAACCCCCATTAGCCTGCACTGTAACTCCTGCAGACCAGTCCAAGCAACCTCCACCTCTCTGTGCGTTTTGGGGACATATACACATGATTTGGCTCCATTTATAGAAAGACATACCAACATGTTGGGTCAGTCTTCAAATGTAAAAACTAAAATAGCTCTCTAATTTCCCCTTTTTAATTTGATCACAACATAATAAAATTCAGTTTGCTGACAGCCTTGGAGATACATCCATATTAATGGAAATGCCTGACCGTGGTCCTAAAGTAAATATAACACCATCCTTATTTATTGCTTGACATTTCAACAGCAAATTTCAGTCAACAGCCACACCTCATCAGATCCCATTAATATATATATATATATATATATATATATATATATA